GACATAGAGAGAGAGAGAGAGAGAGAGAGAGAGAGAGAGAGAGAGAGAGAGAGAGAGAGAGAGAGAGAGAGAGAGAGAGAGAGAGAGAGAGAGAGAGATAGATAGATAGATAGAGAGAGATAGATAGATAGGTAGATAGATAGATAGAGAGAGAGAGAGAGAGAGAGAGAGAGAGAGAGAGACGGAGAGAGACAGACGGAGAGACAGACGGAGAGAGACAGAGAGACAGAGCGACAGAGGCAGAGAGAGATAGAGAGACATAGAGAGATATATAGATTGAGAGACAGACAGACAGACAGACAGACAGACAGACAGCAGACAGACAGACAGGCAGAGAGAGAGAGAGAGAGGGAGAGAGAGACTCCACAGGACTGCGCAAATGAACTGGATGGTCGCTGGACCAGAAAGGAACTTGGACAAGGTGATGTAATGCTCCACGAGTGCGATCGCCAGTAACCTAAAGGTGCCGCGCTGCATATTGTGTCAGCACTCTCTGCCAGTTTTGTGTCCCATCGACTGTACAGGAAGCTTCTGGATTTGTCTTCCTTTTTTTGAACTGCTGTTCACAACTTCTACTCCATTGTGCCTCAGTGTTATCTCTTTCTTCGATAATTTGGTGCAGCATCTGCCACCTTCTTCTCGCTTCTAGATAGAAATCGTCACTTAAAACTTAAGTAGAGTCAAGTGACGATTTGCTACTTAGTCGTTGTATGCAGGACTCGTCAACAATCATAAGAACTAACATTTTGTTCACCAATTTTGTCACCATGTGAATGCAGCCGAGACCGCCAATAACGCTATGTTAAAAGCTTTGTGGACCCTGGCTACTACACAGTGGCTAGCGCCAGACGTCTTTTGTTGTCGTTGTAGAAGTTTAACGCCGCACCACAAACTGGCGGTTTCGTCTCCTTTGATACATGTGGAGGACAGAGGGAATGAGAGAGTCTTTTGCATAGCTACGGGAATAATTATAACTGACAGGGTGGTCAAGTGCCAATTACGGTTTCAGTGGCTGTTTCAGGGGTGTGGGCAAGGATGTGGCGTACGACTACTGAAGTATGAGTATGAAGCTATGCGCACGTCCCTGCCAGGAATGACACCCCGTCCTTATGCTCGTACAATCGCCTAGCCGTTCGCTATCGCAGTAATGTCTATTGTGATGAGGTTCTGGCATGCACCCGGTCGAGGCTACAGGGGACAGGTCCTGCGACGCCTAGGCAAGGGCGGATTATGCCGGCAGGAAAATTGGCAGAATTCGGTACTTTTTCTGGTAAGTTTCATGCATGTTTGGTATGTGGATAAAGAAATGGAGCAGAATTCGAGGAATTGCCCACCATAAGGTTTGTATGGTTCTGCCAATTTCACCGATTTTCGAGCAGAATCTGCCACCTTTTCGAGCAGAATCCGCCGGCCCGACGCCACCTACAACTGCAGAAACACTGATGGCGAGCCGGCCCGGTCTAGACTACCGATTCATGCCATTGGACAGCTGGCTGCCTGTTTCGGCTAACGCCTTGACGTTTCCTGAAGCGGTCTTCGGGAAGGAATGGCGTTGGCCACTCGTAATGCTTTCTCTACAAAATTCCTGCCGCCGCCGGAGGCGGACCGCATGGAAAGGCAGACATGACGCCGGTCCGATGAGGTCTGGCAGGTGGCTCAGCTTCTACAACCTGATCAGCGGCCTGTACTTGGTGTGGTATGGTGAATCTTGGGGGCAGTCCACACACAAAGCCGGCGACACACACGGCGAGATGCTCCTTGCTGGGCATTGGACCCGAGCTACGAGGCAGATGTGTGGATGCTGTCAGTTCACAACAAACGAACTCAGCGTCAGGATAAAGCGGACAGCCTCGCTCCTCATCAGTCCACTTTTCAAAGGAAAGATATGTCGAGCAGTGGACGACTCTAGCTGCGCTCTGTCCCAGCCGGACGCTGGTTGTAGACAGTGTATGCATGCTTCTGAGTGCAGCTCACTCCGTCTCACAGCTAAATAAGTATTTCAACACCCTCCAAAGCCTGGCAAAACCTCTGGTCTTCACTAAGCGAGCTGCAAACCATGTCGACCTTCTCGCTGGAGCTCTGCGTTCAGGGGCACTCCCAGTCTATCCTGTACCGCATTCCAAAAGGTAGGTTGTTTGGAGGAGGGGGGGGGGGGGGGCAACATAAATGACACAATAATAGAAAAGCTGACAGGATCGCTTTTCAATAATGATACAAGTCTAGTCCGGGGACGGGGGAGATGGGGGCGACGGTGATCAGTAAGCGTACAGTGTTGTCTTGACAAACAAGTGGCTCTCTGATCTGGTTGTCTGAACACGTTGGTACAAGCCCCTGTCTAGATATTGAGTCGGACACTAACGTTAGTAGCTGAAGCTTACACAAGACACATAATTGTACATGTACTCAATCTGCGCTGAATTGTACATGTATTATATACATGAGGGCCCACCCATCAGACCACGCTTCAAACACCCGCAGTTTGATCACTCTGACTTTGCTACTGCTGCACTAGCAACGATAACTCACTAGTAAAGTCGTAACCAGCCACTCTGCATCTGGGCTCGCTGATGAGACCCAACAAGGGTCTGAAACCGTGGGCTAGCTTTCCGGAGATACAACCATTATCATAGTAACTGCCCTCGGTCTCGTGCACAGCTCGCCGTGTTTATCGTATACTAGTACATGTAGTTGCTGTTTCGTATTTATTATTAAAATTTTAAAGGATTTCCCAAAGGCATAGCCTATCGGGGGGGGGGGGGGGGGGGGGGGGTAGCCCTTTCCCAAAGATGCTCACCGCTTTTTTCGCAACTTTTGGTTGTTTTGGAAGAGATCGCAACTTTCGCAACTTTCTTCGTTTTCACGAACTACTTCGCAACTTTCCGCAACCGTGAGCAGGGAAGCGCATTGGAGGATACCATTGAAGTGTCCGTGATGCTCCCCTTCAACAAGAAGCGCTGAAAAATTGCATCAAATCATCATGAAAAGTGTACTTCTCGAAGAACATGTACAAAATGTAACAAAAGTCATGTACATGTATTATACAAATGTACATACATTGTTGGTTGACAGCATGTTACAAGGCGGAGGACCACTGTGTTTGGAAACAGTGACCTTACTACAACCATCCATGGTTGGCAGAGCCCCAGTCTTGCGACCATTTGAACCGGCTCTGCCAACTTAACCGTGGATGGTTGTAGTAAGCATTGAGCAATGATGCTACGATTATTTATTATGCACAAGAACTCGCTCATTTTGAGTTTCGATATCAGCAACTTTCGAGCTTTTTCTGAAAATATGGATGCTTTTTCAGCAACTTTCGCTTGTTTTGGCATGATTGCGAAAAGCATAAGTTGCGAAGTATTTTGGCATCTTTGGGAAAGGGCTATCGGGGGGATCTCCTAACAGTGAAAATGATCCTTGATTTATATACTAGTAAAGCGACTGTTGAGGCACTCTGACTTTGATAAGCCGGTTTAACTAACATGCTTTGTCGTTCATTGTTAGACTTCATTGCAATCGGTTCAGCCTGTAACTCTGAGGTCCGCTCTCGACATCGAAGCAACTACTAGTCTTGTAGCTGTCCGGAAATGCAACCATAATTATACTAAATAATTATTGGAACTACATGTACACAAATTTAAAGTAAAGAAAAAAGGACCAAGAAACTACAAGTTACGCTATAATGTTCACTAACACCACCAGTTACCGTATTTTCCGGAGTACACTTTGTATAACGCGCACCTAGGCCTCGACCAAATATGCTAAAAAAAGAGCATAATTATTATGCTCGTCGCATATCAGGGAAAACGTCCATAATATGCCAAAGGCATAGCAAGATATGCCAAAATATGCCAAAATATGCTCAACATAAGCAGTAAGTGTAGATCATTTCAGTAAAATTACAACCTTGGAATATTCATTGGCTTCACGGCTATCATGCTTATGGTGTAAATCAAAACACATGCGGAATAGTATGGCTGGGGTGTGTCCCCAGCAACCGTAGCGATAGTGTTCATCCATGTGGAAATGTAGCAAACGCCCCTCAACCATTCCAACTTCATCCATAAAAGGCATTTCTGAACGCATTTTGTCCACAATATGAATGTTTTGTCCTCGTTTTCTTCAGAATATTTGAATTATATGCTGGCTTCATTCCAATATTCCCTTTGTCGCTCAATATGCCATAATGAACTGTCTCCCAAAATATGCGGAAATATGCGCAAGCATATTTGGTCGAGGCCTAGCGCACCCCCAATCTTCATTGGGGTTTCGCACTTCAATCTTCATTGAAGTACATGCATTTCATATTCGGAGCATAGTGTGCACCTGCGATTTAAGGGCCTAAAATAGCACATCTAAAGTGCGCACTATACTCCGGAAAATACAGTACTAAACAATCAGCTCATGCGATAACATTGCACGACATTACTGACCGACGATGCTGACGTTCTACAACTAACTGGCTAACAGCTCTAGCACATCTTGGATCATGATTGTTATCTGACATGTTATTTCTATAACTGTTACTACATAGAACCTTCCAAGTTGGAAGTCTGTTGGTACTAGCAAGAGTACATTATGTACTCTTGGTACTAGTAGTAGTAGACCTACGGGTGAGTAGAGGTCTACTATAGTGCGTTTCAAAAGTCCAGACCTCTTGTTTCAAAAAACCGTTAGGCCAGCATCTACATGTATACCACAAAATCTGTGATCACTTTGTGCATAAAATTTTCGAAATAATTGGGCGTCTGTTAGCCAATCGCTTAGAAATTTACATAAGAAAAATTGCGTGAGCTGCCTGAGCAATATTCCGAAGAAATTTCTCCAAAATCTCAAACCAAATTTGAATTATTCGAGAAAGTCTAGAGGTCTATACTTTTGAAACGCTAGTACGATACCGGTAGTAGTAAGTTAGTAGTACAGTAGGTTTGTGGAGTGTTTAGCACCTCTTTACCGCGCATGCGCTTCTTCTTTCTCACCTTCCCTCATTCAACGTCGAAAGTTCGTAGTTTTCGTGTTCTTCTCAGCTCATCTCGTTATTTCCAACCGATAGTTTGCATTTTATTCGCTCCGCCATTTTATAGTCAACTCGTCTAGTCGATATCATGCAAATGAATTATGCCTGTTTGTTCTTCGACTCTAAATAAAACAAACAACTCGCTATGCTTGTGGTGTTTGCGCGTTGCGGGACTGTATCGCTATGCGGAGCTTACATACCCGTGCTCGACTGCACCTGAGCCTGAAGCGGGGGAGTGAGGAATGAGGTACAGAGACTCAGTAGCACTGGCGTGACGCCAACGTGCTCTTCGTGTGTACCTAAATGGCCGATCACCTCATGATGGTACGGAGAGTAGAGTGTAGACAACTAATTGCAGTTTGTGACCAGCCATCTTGTTCAGAGCAGTCATTGGTGAATAAGTTTTTTATTTACTGTTACTTAAAGTACACACAATCTCACTTGCAATTGTCACAATTCGTGTGTGTGTGTGTGTGTGTATGTGCTTGTATGTGTGTCTGTGTTTTTATGCTCATGTTTTGTTCCGGCTGCAAAGGCTCAACGCTACGGTTCATACAGAGCAACAAGCTTGCGGCACGCGGCGGAGTGGTAGACTTGCTCTTCAACCAGGCGCCGTCTTCTGACCACAAATTCAACCGTCAGGATCTGCGTAGTCTCGACCCGCCTTCTGGGACTGTTCTGAGCAGCTCAGAATGGCAGCGGGAGGTGAAACTGCACACCGCCGGTTCATATCAATACCGGTTTACCTACCGAAAGAACGTAATATGCAAGTGAGTGGCATGCTTAGTGTATGTGACACATTGATTCCGTTAGTGGCCTCAGCCAACGTTCTCTCTCTCTTGTTGTCACGGTCTGTCTGCCTGGCTAGCTGCCTGTCTGTCTGTCTGTCTGTCTGCCTGCCTGTCTGTCTATCTGTCTGTCTATCTGTCTATATGAGGAAGAAGACCGATATGGTCGAACTGTTAACTCAGTCGTGATCACTTCTGTCCTTCTGCGCAATGGTCCAGTCACGTTTTTTGAATATTTGCGTGCTACTTTCTTGATGGGACCAAGTGCCGGCTTGTCATCGTTTTAAGACGAATCCCCGTTAGGACATTCTACCAGCCCCAGCCGACCCACGCCCTCCATGCAGACCATCGACCAGGCTGGCTACTAAGATCGCTCAGCGACACCAGAACCTGTTAAAATCAATACTCCCGGCGGCACGCACCCGAAGCAGCAGCCTCCGCAATGGGTTCCCCGATTGCGCCATCCCAACGTGGAACAGCCTGCCAGGACATGTCTTGCGATCTGCACCGCACCCACAACACCTGCAGTCCTTCAAGGAAAGATGCCATAAGTACCTGCTGCGCCTCGACTGGCAGAGAGCAACTGACGCTCTTTGACTCCCTTAGCTTAAGTTCTGATTGACCCCAATTTCCCTATCCAACTTACATGTATCTTTCATCTTTATCCTTCTGCAGTGGATGTGTGGGCGCTATTACTGGGCGCTGCACTTCCGTATACATTTCTTGCTCTCGTCTTGTTTTTCTCTCTCTCTTAGGCCACACCGTTTTTATCTATGTTTCGCGTCCCACGCGCGCATGTATTTCACAGCCGTTCAGAAAAACAAAAACAAAACGGAACACAATTTTTTTGGAAAATGCAATACAAATTTAATGTAAACCCAGAAAACCAGAAAAGGACAGATGTAACCCAAAAGAAAAAAAAGGAACATGATTGTTATACGGTAACTCTAATGTTGGCATCATTAATTTTGTTCTATTTATCGCATGATTGTACTCAGCTCACATACATGTACATGTGTGTAATTTAAAGCTGGGCCGCAAGTCACACAATCATCATGTCGCCTGTGTTTGGACCACAAGCATGGCAGAGGGGATACACTCATATGGGTGAATTTAAAATAATGTTCGATGTACATGAACTACTACTAGCAATACACTGTACACAAATACAAAGCACGTACAATGCTTTTTTTTGGATGGCTTTTTTATTTTTTTCGCCCTCCCTCATTGATTTCATCGAACAAGGTGACGCGAAACATAGAAAAAAAACGGCGTGGCCTTATGTCCTTCTATATTTTTCTTGGCGCGCTTTGTCTGTGCAGACGCCGAGACTCCCAAGGTCGGCTGAGCAGCAGGGCCCCGCCACCACTTTCCGCATTCATTCGGGAGCATAGTAGGAGAAGGAGAGCTCTGTGCCAGAACTTTGCAGCCTAGAGAGCGTGTGTGGGCAGGCGTGTGTTTACCGCCATATTGCCAGGTGTGTCTTTACCACCATATTTATCAAGCATAGTAAAAATACAATAAAAAGCTCAACTACTAGTACCTTCCAACCATGAATGTCTCTCTGTCTCCTTGTCTCTCTGTCTCTCCCTCTTTCTCTCTGCCCCCCCCCCCCCCCCTCCCCCCACACACACCGTTGTTCAGGTCCAATCTCACCGAACAGACCGGCTACATTGTTGTGGAGCCCCAGCTGCAGTTGGCCGACGGAAGCACCCTCGATCTGGATGGTATCGCATTGCAGACGGTCATAGCCCCGTGTCTTGGCAAGCTGTCCGAGTGGCGGGATCGCTTACGCGTGGCCAAGGAGTCTGGTTACAACATGATTCACTACACTCCAATCCAGGAGCTCGGCTGCAGCGGATCCAGTGAGTGGCCTTAAAGGCATACCCAGCATGTACATGATCACATTCTATTTGAGGTGTTTTGTATGGTGTGGGATAGTGCTGATATGCCACGCAGTGCAGTTTGCAAACAATTGCGCCATAATGACATCATTTGCTTAATAGTCGCTACAGGTCTGCTCTCGATATAACAACTCTCACTTGTACATAAACCTCGCTAGTAAGTAAAAAAATCAAATCCCGCGCCGAAACAGCATCACTCCCATACAAATTTTGTTCTACACAACATAATCCTACATAACATAAACCTCGACATAACACACCCTATGGCGCAGTCCCCAACGCGCGCACTCTCGATACAACATAAATTCACGTGAACGGTACGATCAAGCGGTAGCTGTAGCTAGGCAGTTTAGGCCAGTTTAGTCCTACATAACGTAAACCTCGGCATAACGCACCCTATGGCGCGGTCCCCGACGTGCGCACTCTCGATGCAACGTAGATTCACGTGAGCGGTACAATCAAGGTGTAGCCGTAGCTAGCCAGTTTAGCCCTATTGTGCATATATTCTGCGGCATTGATGGTATCTGATGTCGATGGTGGTATAGTGTGTATATGTTTGCACGGTTAAACCCGCCTTGTAATACCCATCATTTTGAGGTACATCTTGTATTTTACACACGGTTCTCTACATAACATAACTCTCGATATAACATAATTTTCGCGTGGTCCCAGAGATTACGTTATATGGAGAGTAGACCTGTATATTGTGAGTTTTTTTTGCGTCGGCACCTTTGCCTGTGGTGTGTCTTGGACAGTTAGTGCTTCAAGCAATATGATATTTGTGTTTATCAAGTTGCTGGGACAGCCGAGCAAAGCGTACTCATGTAGTATAGGCCAATGATTACTTATTATTTCTTACATTTTGTATTTCGTATTTCCTGCTCCTGTCCACGTGACGAATCTCTGGCCTTGTAAGCTGCGCACATGCCCACGTGTTTCTTGCCTTTCTCTCACAAACTCGCCACTGGCACCAACGCCGCCGCAAGATGCTGCCCCGGCTCCGCCGCCGCGAGGTGCTGCGCCAGCTACATCCAGTGCTGTCACCGTTGAACTGGATGATCTATCATCTGCTGCTATAGCTGATGCTCAACGTTCTGATCCGGAGCTATCCACAGTCTGGTCATGGTATGATGCGGCTAGTGGCAAGTTCGTTCGCCCTCCGGAAGATGACATTTCTGGTGTTAGTCGAACTGTCAAGATTATCTGGTCACAGATTGATCAGTTGTCTTTGCGTGATTCCGTCTTGTATGTACTGCCTCCTTTTGCTGATCATGACCACGTTGGTGAGTCACCCCGTCTGGTCGTACCATGCTCACTTCAGGAGCGAGCCATGATCGCTGTACATTCTCTTCCTACTGCTAACCATCCTGGTGTGGAGAAAACCCTGTCTCAAGCTCGTCTGCGTTTCTACTGGGTTGGAATGGCTTCTGACATCACCGAATTTGTTCGATGCTGTCACACCTGTGCACAGATTCGAGCGAAGAATCCAACAAACCGTGCACCACTTCAGCCAATGATTGCCGGTTATCCGTTCGAAATTGTTGCCTTGGACATTGTCGCTCCTCTGCCTGAAACGTCCCAGGGCCATAAGTATCTCCTGGTCATGGCGGATTACTTTACGCGATGGGTCGAGGCATTTCCTTTGCGCGATATCACTGCTGTTTCGGTCGCTGCAGCTGTCGTTAATGGTTGGATCAGTCGGTTCGGTGCACCTGAACAGCTTCATTCAGATCAAGGGGCTCAATTCGAATCTTGGCTATTTGCGGATATCTGCCGTCTCCTTGGTATCCGGAAGACGCGAACCACGCCGTATCATCCTTCTGGCGATGGTCTGGTGGAGCGCGTCAACCGCACTCTTCTAGGTCTGCTGCGTGCCCACATTACTCCAACCAGTACGGAGTGGGATGCAACGTTCTCTCTCGTCTTGCTGTCATATCGTGCTGCAGTGCACACGTCCACTGGATTCAGTCCAGCGCGCCTTCTGTATGGTGCGGATGTCCGGTTACCAGCTGATATTGTGTTCAATTTACCTTCGCCACCTTCCACTGATATGCATACCTATGTCCGTAGTCTCGACACTTCTCTGCGGAATATTCACGTCGAAGCCCATCATAATGCTGATCTTGCTCATGCGTCTCAGGAACAGTTCTATAACCGTCGCGTTCATGGTGAGCCTTATGTTGTCGGTCAGCAAGTTTATCTTCATGATCCAGTTATCCGTGCTGGCGAGCACCGTAAATTTCATCGTTTCTGGTCTGGCCCCCATACTATTGTGCGTGTTAATGGTCCGACGTCATATATGTTATTGCTGAAGGGAGTTGAACGTACTGTCCACTTCAATCGTTTGAAGCCAGTTACTTCCTCGTGCCCAGTTTCCTTACCGTCTTCTGTCCATGATCTCCCCAACCCAGTGAGTTTGTCAGCTAATAACTTTGTTCCTGTTGTGCCACATGATGCCGATGACTCTGTTCCCAGTACACCTCCGTTGTCGCCGCCTGTTGCCCTATCACCTCTACCTCCTCCTCCAGTTTTAGTGCGTCGATCAGGCCGGATCCGCACTGCTCCTGCGAGATTTGATGACTATGTTTCGTAGTTAGTTCATTGTATATCCGTAATTATTATAAATTTAATTGTTTTTGCCCTGCTTGCCTGTTATTCACGAGGTCGTGAATGGTGAGAGGAGGGGAATTGTGTAGTATATGCCAATGATTACTTATTATTTCTTACATTTTGTATTTCGCATTTCCTGCTCCTGTCCACGTGACGAATCTCTGGCCTTGTAAGCTGCGCGCATGCCCACGTGTTTCTTGCCTTTCTCTCTCTTCTCCGTCATGACAAGTAACATTAGTTTTACTATCGATATGAACAGTTTGAGTGTCTGGTATTACTATTAGGAAAGGGAATCCTACACTCATATGCTCAGACTCCCCCCCAAAAGAGGATCTGTATTATTTTACTGTTGCTGTCGGCGTCGTCGTTTTGCCAAAACATATCCTAAAATGGCATGCTTTCCACTACTACCGACTCAATTCAGCAAACAGACCCCATAATCTCAACAATATAGAGGGTGGAGGGGAGGATGATCAGATATAACGTTAGAAACAGGCAACTGTACTCACTGTAGTGTGTTGTTACTATGCCATGCTCATGTGCGTGTGTGCGCGCGCGTGTGTGTGTGTGTGTGTGTGTGCGCGTGTGCACGTGTGCGCGTGTGTGTGTGTGTGTGTGTGTGTGTGTGTGTGTATGTGTGTGGTGTGCCGACAGCGTACAGCATAGCCGAGCAGCTGCACTTGCTGAATGAGTCCCGTGACGAGCCGCTGGGAGCTGGCGAGCGGCCGGCACGCCTGATTACCCAGAGCAGTGTCGGTCGGCTCTCGGCGGAGATGTCCATCGACGTTGGCTTCAAGGAAGTGCACACGCTCATCAAGGAGCTGCACACGGATTGGGGTATGTTTAGCCTGGTTGACGTTGTCTGGAACCACACGGCGTCTGATGCCCCGTGGCTGCGCACTCATCCTGAAGCAGGGTACAATCTGAAGAACTCGCCTCACCTGAAACCGGCCTTTGAACTCAATCGTGTAAGGTCTTGTGGCTACTTTACTTTGAGAAAGAGAGAGAGAGAGAGAGAGAGTGTGTGTGTGTGTGTGTGTGTGTGTGAGTGAGTGAGTGAGTGAGTGTGTGTGTGTGTGTGTGTGTGTGTGTGTGTGTGTGAGTGTGTGTGTGTGTGTGTGTGTGTGAGTGTGTGTGTGTGTGTGTGTGTGTGTGTGTGTGTGTGTGTGTGTGTGTGTGTGTGTGTGTGTGTGTGAGTGTGTGTGTGTGTGGGGGGGGGGGGGGGAGATGCGTCGGGGAGAGAGTGAGACCGAGAGAGGCAGTGAGAGTGCGAAAGATAGAGAGTGGGAGAGAGAAGAGGGGGGGGGGGGGGGGGGGAGGGTGCTGAGCAAGAGTTGGGAAACGGATTCTATTAATTGTATGCCATGGACTGCGTGTGCATTGCTCAAACAAACAACATACCACGATTCTTTTGGTAGCTGGGTACAGAGCACCAGCTGGCTTTTCTCTTGTACGCAGAGCATGCACATCCAAGCAGCCACACATACGGCACCGAGGAACACTTTGAAAAATGTCGCTTGACAGCATTTCTCAATCTCCAAATGTCGGCTGCAAACATTTGCCACGTAGAATTGATGTCTGAACTGGTCTGAAAGCAGTCTGAAACCAGCAGGAATACATACCGTATAGGCGCGAATAGAAGCCCCGGGGCTCTATTTTTCCACAAGACACCTGGGGGGGGGGGGGGGGCTGTATTTGAGAGGGGGCTCTATTCGAGAGGGGGCTTTATTTTTTCAATAGAAACATAAATTTTTCGTACCTTTCAAGATGATTGCACAAGGTGAGGGAAGAATCATTCTTGTGCAGATAAAGAAACCGTAAGGTAACCAGCACTGTTATTTACGAGAATAAAATGAGAAAATAGGAACAAGAGCAAGAGCAAGCATGAGTACTGTTTGTCAACGTACCTCCAATAATACCAAGAGTAGATAAACAAGAGTGTGCATCTAGTGATCTAGTGATCCGCAAACTGCACACTGTGTTGATCGTGCATACCGTACATGGTCCATGTACTGCACTACAACGTACGGACTGTGGGCGCTCGATTAGAGCCCCGGGCTTTTATTCGAGACGGGGCCGTATTACTTCGAATGCCTCTGAGGGACGGGCTCTATTCGAGAGGGGGCTCTATTCGAAGGGGGGGGGGGGGGGGGGGGGCTTGTATTCGCGCGCGCGCGCGCGCGCGCGTATTGTATACAACTCTAACTAATCCTATTTTCCATGTCGGGCGTGCACTTACTATGCAATTACTAGTAGTCCAAGTTGGTCTCACTGTATGCTGGAAGTCCACATGAAATGCTCATGTAAGTTCACATACTAGTGCTTGTATGCGTTTTGGCAAGAGGTGCACCCCGCAATGCGCTCAAAGTGCTTAAATGCCACCGGGGCAGGGCAGATCCAACTCCCCAACCACACAATCATGCGGCAGGATGTACAGTTGTTTAT